GGTGCCTATAATACAACGTAAGAAGATTAAGTCTAATCAGTTAATTTGAAATTAGATAGAATATATTACAGGGATGTTACGCAAATGGGTTTTCACTGTATTGGTTGAAGATAGGGAATCTATTTAGCTTATATACTAGAAAATGGAATAACAAATGATGTTACTAAAGGATATTATCAATTAGGATCAGTCGTGGCGTATGCCTATCATTCCTTTGTAATTAATATTATTAATATTAAGGACATGTTGAGTTCAGTACACATACACGTATGTGTATACATAAGTGGGTAAATTGAATGAAATTAATTTAATTCATGATTTAGAAATGAAAGCCAAATAGAGGACGTTTTGCCCTTGATGTATTAAGCTTCCTCTGGGATGATTACTTAAGAGTTAATTACATATTTTAATAGGCGTTTTAGTGATTTAAACGATACCTCTAGAAATATGTACCATTTCCTCATTTGGAACCTTGTGCATACAGAGGATTTAGTGTTAACAACAAACCGGTAAAAATACAGTAGAATCCGCATATAGTGACACCGAAGGGAAATGACAAACACGTCATACTAAGCGGGCGTCATACAAAGCATAGTCTTAGAAAATAAACAATTTTCTATTTTGATTTAATATAAATTTATCTTAAGCATGCAAATGTTGGTCTATATTTTGCAAGTATAAACTTTGTTTTAACGTATCACGTCACATTTTTTTTTGTATGTAGATTAATATATGTATATGTATATGACTCTTTGAATCGGCAAGTTTATTTGTTTTTTCACAAAATTCATTTTATAGCTTATATTTCTATTTAATACCCTCTGACTGAGCATTACGTTGTATTTTACTTTATTTTAGATAGTCTGAAAGTAACAATCGTCGTTTACACCACCTGAAAAAAAAATAGTTTATAGCGAGCCATTATTGAGAGAGATATGATATTAACATGTAATAAAAGATTGTATTTCATTTATCTTTAACTATAGCTTCTTGGAGTTGTACAAACAATTCAAATGTATTTTTTTACATTTGCGGGCAATATACAATAGTTAAGCAAAGATTGAATATAACAGACTTTATAAAAAATCAAAATGAAGTTGTGACACCAAGATAAACACTGGGTTACGATAAAATATGCCGGTTATGTGTTGAGGTGTTAAGACAGTAGACTTATGGTAAATCAAAATCATTGTTATTCGGTATTTCTATGTCGGAGTGAAAAATGTCATCAATACTAGTTTGAAAGAAGAAAGTATTGCTTCCACCACTTTACATTAAACTTGGTTTGATCAAACAGTTTGTGTAAAGGCATTTCGACTTGGCCAACGGTGATTATTTCATGTTTACATATCGAGGTCATGATTTATATAGGTTTTAAACATATAAAAAAATCGTAAGGACACAAAAAATTACTTTTTAAGAAAAAAATCAATTCAAAAATCACGTTTTTTTGCTTATTTTCGATCTTTCCATGCTTTAATATTTTCGGAGGTATTTTTAACCAACACCATCGAAAAGAGCATCGTTAAAAACATAGAAACACTGGTTATCGAGTATTTTTTGTCGCACTCATTACGTGGCAAGGGTTCAAATGGAAATGTGTTCTCTGAGCATTTATGGGTTAATGTGACGTGGCATAAACCATATGAATATCGTTTTCTATTACTTTTAAGACAATTTCGACAAATATTAACAGTTTAAGAAAAAAACTTTTCAAAAAAAAAATTTCGCAGACCTGTGTATAATAGCGAAATGCAAAAAACTACTAAAGGGTATTAAGATAATAAATGATCCATAAATGATGCGACTATACTCTATTAATAAGCAAACCAATTTTGCTTTTATCCTACCCTTATATTCGGTAGGTTGTGGAAATTGCCCAAAGTGGTGAATATATAGGACAATCTTCCTTCAGTTTAGAACTGACGAGGGAAGCTCCGTTGTGTCATTACTCTTTAATTTCGCACGAAAGGAACCGTCTCTGGTGACAATTTACAAAATTGTGGGCCCCGGTCTTCATTTAACGTTCATTTGGTCGTTGACTCGGAAATTTACTCGGCGGAAAGGTGGTAGATCGTAACCCGGATTTGACTGCTGTTTCGTCACAATAAATCGGAACGGCTGGACTGGTTGTTCATCATCTCTACCCTTCCGCGTACTTCCAGTGGAGGATGTGATTCGCTGCACTTTCTGAATATTGCCACGCAGTTGGGGTGTTACATAAAATAGAGTGCAGAACTAGCGCAGACAATTTGAAATTGCGGTGAACTTTATGCCGCATTATTTATTGCCGTAATTAAAGTTTTATTTTCAAAACACAATAAAATTTCACTCAGTGGCGGCGCGTGATTGTTGATGATGCTACCACCAAAAATAGATTATATGAAATCAAAAAACAGATGCAACTCAGTGCACGTGAAAAAACTGAAACTTCTTTGGCGATCTCTATACTTTTATAACGAATAAGTAATGATTTGTGAAAGAAAGAATACGAGAATTTTAAGGATTTATTTTTTCCAACATATTTTATCTTTAGTCCACCTTTATTACTAGTATTACTTTAATACGTTTCTATGTAATTCAATAACAAGAAAATGGTAAAATTTTTATCGCTTCCGTTTATTTTTCCAACTGCTTAAGAAACTGTGTTGACGCCTGGTTTGACGAACTTGTTTTATGATTAAAACTCACCTTAGTTTTTTAATGTGCTGTTTATTCAAACTTGACACTAATAAAAACCTAACGCTAAAAAATATTAATATTACTTAACTATTATTTTACGAAACGCTTGTATTATGTTTGACTAGTTCTGATGGTTGTCTATGATTGATACACTTGTGATTATCGCTGGTGATTGTCACTGATGATTGTCACGCTGGATTGTTACTTGATTCTGTTGTTACTGTTACACTTCTCTGTGGTTGTCACTTATTCACCTGATGAATTTTTTTTTTAATGTTTTTGTGGAAGAGGGGAAAGAAACCTGATGAATAGGATGATTTGGCTTTTATCCTATTTTCGAATATTAACAAGAATTGTGTGAAGAGGGAGAGTAGGTGGAGTTAGTAAGGTTTAGAAACATTAATTGGATTAGGAATAGAAGAAACAGGGTGGTTGGTTCAAGATAAGAAAGTGGGGTATATGGGGTGCGGTTTGATAAGAAGAGAAAGGGAGAGATCGGTGTACCTGCAAGTGTCCAGCGTGCAACAATTCTTGGTATTGATCAATTGTATCGACCATTGTATTCTAACGAAAATAGTAATAGATTTTATGACTACAAAATAAAGATAGGAATACGAACTATTTGAAATACAATTATGTTGGGATAAACCCCTAATGACACACCTATTGTTAAAAATCAATATACAAATATACAATGGAAAAGGTACCTAAGAATAAACTAATTGTTTGCAAAGTAAACAAAATAAAGTAAAAGTAACTTATTTAAATGACTAACAACCCCAATTACAAAATTACACCTAAAAGCTATAGCGAAACAATGGATATAGAACGTTGACACTCAACAATTATATTTATTATTAGGTTTGTGCTGGTGAGTGAATAAAAAATAACTAATAGTAATATTGTTTTTATTTAATGTAGGTATAAAGAAACACTAGCAGGAAAAACAGCTAAAAAAACATTACAAGAAAAAAAGGTGTGGGTACTCTAAAAGAATATTAAAACAAATCCATTTGGAAACAATAATTTTATTTTTTTTTACAACTAACAGAAAAACTATAAAACTACAAACTAAGAAAACAAACTACAAACTAAAAAAAAAAAAACAAAAAAAATCATGAATGTAGGGAGTCTGAAAAAAGAAAACATATTAAAAATCAACTCGATGTAAAGATACTTTTATAACTTACTGGAACTAGAGCTTTATCAATTTTGAAAAGCAAGCACCCAAATACAGGTGACCGAGCCATA